CATATTCGTTCTATATATATATATATATATATATATATATGCCGTCTTTGGCACATTCTTATCCCAACTTTTCGTGCTCAGTCGCTTCATCCCTCGCACACATTCCCCTCCTTTTCGCTGCGGCTACGTGCCTTTCTACGGAGCAGTTGCGGAGGAGAGGCGGCGGCGGTGTGGGAGATATGGCAGAGGGGAAAAAAAAAAAAAAGAATGGAACCAACGAAAACAAAAGGCGAGAAAACAAACGAAAAAAAAACTTTGGCAAATTACACAAACATTCGTGCCACTAACGCATGCGTGGGGGGTGGCAAGGCCGTCAATATCAGCCCCCTCCTCCTGCTCCTCCTCCTTCTTCCCCACTCCCCATTTGTTTCTCTGCTTCCCCCTTCCCCCCCAAACAAATGTGTCCGGTACATATCCTCCTCCAATTCCCTTAGCCCGGCCTTAGCAGCACCCACCCTTTCCGGAGGACTTGCGATTTGCTGCTTGCGCGTCTAACTTCACGCTTTCCGCCCTTCCTGCGCTCTTCCCACCGGGTAACGCCACCTTCCCGTTGCGATCCTTCAGGTCCAAAAAAATATCCTTGGTGATCTGCTGGAACGCATACTGCACGTTTTCCTTTTCCTTCGCACTTGTCTCAATGAACGAGATGCCGTGCTGCTGCGCCCAGGCAGTGGCTTCCTCCTTTGAAACCTGTCGTGCACTGCGGGCCTCGTCACTTTTGCACCCAATAAGCAGACACGGTATTCCTGGGAGAGCCTGCTGGCGTACACGCTCCATCCATTGGTCTAAATGGAGGAACGAGGGACGGTGAGTGAGATCAAAGCAAAGCATGACACCGTTTGCGCCGCGGTAGAAGGCTGTGGCAACAGACTGAAAGCGCTCCTGTCCTGCAGTGTCCCAAATTTGCAGACGCACACGCTTGTCCATGTAATTCATTTGATGCATGCGAAAGTCAATGGCAATGGTCGACGCGTAGTCCTTGTAGAAGACATCCTCCGAAAGGCGCACCGTCAAAGATGACTTCCCCACGCCACTATCCCCAATGACAATGATCTTGAAGATGTAGTCGCAGTCCCCTCCGGGGGCCGTGGAAACGGTCATTGCGTGAATTGCTTTGCTGTTGTTAGTTACACTCCCTTGTGTCCCTGCAGATGCCTCAGTTCTGTGTTTTTCTTCCCACCCCTTCTTTTTCAGTTAGTCGTCCTCCTGCTTCTCGTTCACTATCTTCCTTTGCTCCACGTGTGCGAAACAAGCGACAACGGCGCGAAGGCCAAAAAGAGCACACACAATATAGAATACTATAAATGCTAATTGCACCTGGCAGATCTGGCAGACGAGACCGTGCGGTACGAAGTGAAGAAGAAGGAGCAAAAAACGGCAAGGAGGATGATGGGCAGAGGCTCAGACAACTCCCACAGCAGATGAAGAACAAAATCTGCACAATCAGGGGGAACCAAACATCCACGCAGAAAAGAAAGGGGGGGGGGGGGGGACTAGTGATCCGCGAAGGGCCGCGCCACCCCCGCAGTGAGAGGGGATGCACAGTACACAGAGAGGAAATAATTCGGTCAGAAAAGGCCTTCTCCTTCCTATCCCCCACAAATATACAAAAAGGGGGGGCAACAAAATGAAAATTGCAGTTTGTTTCAGTGCACCCACCACACCCCTCAGCCCAAAGAAACCCCGTCGCACAGACGCTGCGACAAGCGCACAAGGGAATGAATTCAGAAAACACATGCGCCGATAGCCGGGGCTCTTGTTGTTCACCGAAGAAGTGGCAGTCTTTGGCCCCCCCCCTCTACCTGTTGGGGATGCTGGTACTAACGGCAAGGGATTGGGGCAGGAGAACAGGCAAAAACGAAACAACAACAACAACAAATTTGAATTTATTCACATAGAAGCAGAGGAGTTCAACAAGGGAGGCGGCGGGCAGGATGCGCAGCATCCCATCCAGTCGCCCACTATTTCCACATGCTTTCAAAGAAAAAAAAAAGCAATCACACACACGCAAATGGCTGCAGGCACAAGCATGCATTACACACTGAAAGGCAAACTGAAAGGGGGAAAAAAAAAACTACGAGCCCCATTTTTAAGGGACGTTTTTTTTTTGGTTGCTTCTTTTCGCTCCCACCTTCCTTCGGATGGCATGATTTTTTCTCTTCTTTTGTTGCTAGTTTCTTCGTCGCTTCCTCGTCGTTGGGGTGGCGCTAGAAGGAACTACAGCAGCCTTTTTTAGGTTCAGCGCCGCGGTGGATTGGCCTTCCATCGCGGCCATTAATACCGCTACGACCCCCCTCCACCGTCGGCGTCGTATTCTGCGCAACGTACGTCGCTAGCTGCTGAAATGCCTCGTCAACGTTTGTGTTTTCCTTCGCACTCGTTTCCAGGTAGCAGAGGCAGCCGTGGCCGCGCGCCCACGCGTCGGCCTCGCTCTTCTCAACCTGGCGCTGGCTCCCTAACGAGATGCCGCTGTCGTTCCCGTCAGCGCTGTGAACAAGGTCCAACTTACACCCGACCAGGATGACGGGCGGCATCTCGGGACAGTTGGCCTCCAGGCGCTCGTACCACCCATTGAGATCCTCAAAGGAAAGGCGGTTTGTGATGTCAAAGCACAGCATGACACCGTTGCAGTTCCGGTAAAACGCCGTGGTCAGGGCAACAAAGCGGTCCTGGCCGGAGGTGTCCCAAATCTGCAGCCGCACCGTGCGGGGCTTTTTCTCTAGTGTTCTGCTCTGACAGTACTTGAAGTCCATGCCGATGGTTGGGACAATGTCCTCGTAGAATGTCCCGTCACAGTACCGCGACGAGACGTTGCTCTTCCCTACACCCACATTACCAATCACTATTATCTTGTACGCGAGGTCCTCTGACATGTGAAACACCTACACGACAGCAGATTTCCTATTGAATTTATTCTAGTTTCCCTTCGTGTGGTGGCGGGGCTGCCTGCTATTTCCCTTATTTACTTCCTCGTTTTCTTTTGCCTACACACTTCGCCGCAACCAAAAAATAATAATACCTGAAAGTGGGGAGCAGAGGTGGGGGAAAAACACACAGACATACAAGGTAAGATATGCCCGTCCACGTGACATTTCATACTGAACGCACACGTTAACAATAGGCAAAGCGCAATGTGTACAGCCACGAATTATACGGAAGGGATGTAGACGCCTCAGGCTATTGGCAACCGCAGCACACCTGCGCCTGTCATCTACACCATGTCGGGTGCAATTCCTCCAGCCGCTCCCGTAGGCACCGCACCCTTGGCGCCTTGTACGGCGGCTCCCAGACGACCAGAAGAACGTTGTACACCGCCGCCACAAGAAACGCAAGCAACAGCAGTAGCATCGCCATAATACGGACAGGGAAGAAGTAATCCACCACGACCGCATCCAACGGAAGCTGTCGCTCTCTATTGTACGGCGTCACAGGCAACACCGAGGGCAGCTGCTCGCGTGGGGCGGAGAGAATACACCCATAGACGATAAACGGCAACGACAAGCAGACAACACCGATGAACAGCGCCCAACGAGGCTGCACATATGATCCTACAAGCGTGACGATAATTCCAAAAACAGTAACGAGCAGAATGGCAAAGGTGCCGTCCCCGACACCAAGGATCATTCCTACCTCTTCTGGTTACCCTTTCAGAGCAGGAACATAAACGTCCGCGCTGCCTGAGACATCAAAGGAACGGTGGGAGAAGGACGCCATTAAGCGAACACGCATCACAAAGATAAGCAATGAAGTAAGAGGATTGGCAAACGGTCGTACAACTGGCAGATAGGCACGTCACCCCAAAAAAAAAAAAAAAAAAAGGGAATCCAATAAGGAGTGATGATGCCAAGCACAAAAACAAAAAGACACACACGCATATATATATATATATATATATATATATTATATTATATACATATATATATGTATATGTACATTCATAAAAGTGAACATGCGCGCATACGTACATGGAGAAACAAGAATGAGGAGAGAAAAGCAAAAAAAAAAAAAAAAAAAAAATTCTACCGCACATAGACAAATAGATAGAAACAATATGTGAACCTCACATGATAAGCAGCTGCCGCAACAGGTGGTACAACAATACATTTCTGCCGTGAGGAACATCATCACGTTTATTGCATTGGGTTTCTTTTTTTTTTGGGTTTTGTTTTGTTTTCTTCGTTTCCTCTTTTTTTTTGTTCTTTTTTTTTTTTGGATTCTTCTTGCTGCCTGGATGTGAGTATGGCTGTGGGTGATATATGCAGCTGCAGGCACGATCTACATACAGAGGTCCCAGTGCTTGAAATAGTCCTCGTCCACGGCATTCGTGTAAAGCTCATCTTGTTGCTTCCGACGAATTTCAGCCGTTTGTTTCTGCTTCAGCTGCTCCTTGGCGAGTTCCTCACGTTCAGCACGACGTTCACGCTCGCGTTGTCGCTCCAAGGCGTTCGCCATGCGCAGCTGAAGATTCTCCTGCTGCCCCCAGTGTTTTTCCTCCTCTACCTCAAGCAGCCTCCGACGCTGCATGGCCTCCCGCTGCGACGCCTGGTCTTGGTACAACTTTTCCTTCTCCTCCGCCGTCATTCCCTTGTAGCGCTCCGCCTTGACCTTTTTGCCGAGCTCGCTCACCATAGTTTCGGTCTCGTTGAGAAAGTCGCCCTCTAGATGGTAGCGAATCTCCTCCAGACCCTTGCGCGTGTCCTCTTCCTTGTCGCGGATGGCCTCGCGACGCTTCTGCTCCGCCAAGGCCTTATTAAAGTCAGCCTGATTCTTCCAGGCGAGGCGGCGCTGCCCCGCAATGTTCTGCTCTATTTCGTAGATGCGGCGGTTAACCTCCTCGTTGCGTTCATCAAAAGCGTTATTTGCCTCCTGCTCCATCCACTTCTTGGCAAGCTTCTCCTCTACCTGCTGCTGCGCCCAGTCGCGCTGCTGACGCTGCTGCTCCCGGCGACGGTTCTTGAAGTCCAAGTCCTCCCCCTCAAACTTCTGCAGCGAGGAAACCCCGGTGCGGGGGTCATCGTCGCCGACACGCGCGGGCAAATCCTTTGACTTCCACTCGGTGTCGTTAAGGTCCCACTCCCGGCGCAGCTGCTTCTTCTGGTATGTGTCACGATAATCCTGCAGCTCCTTTTCCCGCTCAGTCCGAATCTCATTCACCTCCTTCTGCAGCGCCTGCGCGTGTCGGTCCATGAGCAATGCCTGGCGATCAAAAAACTCATTTCTCTCCTGCTCCAGGCGCCGCAGGGCCTCCTTTTCACGAACCTGATCGTCGAGGGCCTGCTTGTCAATTCCCATGTGCCGCTGCTTTGGGTCCCGAAGCCGCTGCGCCCGCTGCATCATAAAAAGCCGCCTCTTCGCTGTGGTGTCGAGAGGCCCCGTGGACACCGCCGCGATGGGACCCACAGAAGGGTCTTTCAGCGCCACGGAGCTCATCTTGGACCGTTTTTTTTCTTCTTGTTCTACCTTTTTTTTTTTCCACACCAGGAAATTGACTAACGTCAAAGCGAGCAAAACGACAAAAATAGAAGAAGACAAAACAAAGACAACAACAACACAGAAAGGTCAATTATATTATCCCTGCAGATGGTAGTGCCAAGATGTAAACCTATGCGGGTCTCTTTCGTGTTCGCACCACACTTTCGTGGCAAAAGTAGGAGATGAAAGAAGAGTGAGTGGATGTATGCATTCACTTTCTTTCACTGTGTAGTAGACGACCACTACAGAATGGGCTTAAATGTAAGTAACGGTGACGGAGTGGAGCACTTGAAGCAATATTTCCTCAGATTCCTGTTGACGCCCTTGCACTTGGGGCACGTCCACAATGTCACCTCCTTCCCCGGCAGCGGCGGGGGCGCTGGTTTGGGCTGCTGGCACTTGTGGCACACAACACTTCCCCTAAAGTTCATCTGGCCGCAGGGACATGCCCAGTCATGCGGATCCTCTCCAGGCAGTGATGGTCGCCGAACACCGGGCGGAAGCGGCGGGGCGGGGGCGCCACACTTGAAACACTCGCGCTTCGACTTGTAATTCAGTTCGCCGCACTGGCACAACCAGTCACCCTCAGCGGGCTCACGGTGCCGTGAGCGTTTTCGTTGGATGCGCCTCCCAAGGCAGCACGGGGTAGCTGACAACACGTATGCACGGGCGCCGCCTCCGCCGCCGAGTGTGAAGGTTTGTGGTGGGCCCCGCAGGTAGCCGAGGAACGCTATCCCCGCGAGTGAGGCGATGCAGCGTTGCCGTCGCAGTGCCCCACCCAGGATGTTTTTCATTCTTGCCTTTCGTCGTTGTTCCTTTTCCCCGCTTCTCCGTGTGGCGCGGGGGCGAGAAAGGAAGAAGCAACCAATAACCATTGCAACACGAGGAAGGAGAATGGGCAGAAGGCTAAGCCCCAAGAAGAAACACGCCTCGGCGCTGTGTGGCAGGCAAAGACAGAGGCCGGCAACAGCCGCTGTCGCCACTGACGTGTAACCTTCATTGCAGATGATACCTCCGCCCACCCGCACCATCGGCACGACTACCGTAGCAGAGTGGCACAAGAAGTAGAAAGGGTGGCGGCAATCGCAACCGCAAGGCGTGAAAGAGAAAGAGGGCGGACATCAGCAAAGACAGCTTGACACCAGCGCTGTGAAGTGCTGAAACGGCTTCGTAAACAAATTGCTGTTGTTCTTGCGAACAGCCTCACACGCACTCGAGCCCAACAACACAAACGCCGCCCGCACCTCTGCGTCCTTGCCGGCCGCAAGAGCAAACCCCGCAAACTCCCCCGCCAACTGCAGAAAGCAGTCCTCATTGAGGGCAATCAGTGTTTGCAGAAGCACCTCCACCGTTGAGGAGGAACACTTCCTTGAGACAACAACGTCAAGCGTCAGCCGTAGAAGTCGTGTGAAAAGACTCGGGTCGGCGTGCAGCAAAGAGCCCCGAACGCGGTCCCGGTGTTCCACGCAGTCACCACCCTCGGCGGAACACAGCATGCTGGTGAACACGCCGAGCGCCTCCGCGCTGAGTGACGCAAGGGAGGCAGAACTCGAGATGTGATGGGCTAGAGAAAATTCCAACATGTGGATGACGTGAAGCAGCTCCGCAACGGGGAGCTCGCAGAGAAACCACAAATGCAATTCCTTAAAAAGTTCCCCCGCAAGTGCAAGATGGGCCCGGGCAAGCTTTTCATAGTGGCAGAAACGGGGGCGGTCCACCAACGTCACGGCCCGCCAGAGGGCCACCAAGCAGGCCATTAACGCCTTATCTTCATAGAGACGCAGCACGCCCAGATTACAGTAGCCACCCGCCAGAATATTGCGTCCAGTCTGAAGTGATATCCGCAAACACTTTATTCCCCACTCCTCGAGGCAGGTGCCTCCAGATCCTAGCACCTTGCTCACCAAGGGAACGGCCGCATCGAGTGAGCCACTGACGGCACGGAAAAGATGATACCCCTCCACCCCGTTGGCACCAAAGTTGATGCGACGAAAACGATTCTGAGTGATTTCGTTAATTAAGTGCAACAGTTGCACGCCGCACACCGTCCCCGACTGGTTCTGAAGCTCATGCATTAAAATCGGAAAAAAAGGAAAAAACTGACGCAGTAGTACCTTGTACTCGTTTTGCCCAACACAAGAGCAGAACACACCCCGCCACAAACAAATGACACGAGTCAAGGACTCCTCGTGGCCACTGGCAGGCACTGCCCCTGCCCGCAGGCACATGCCGAGCTCCTCATACAACGGCCGCACAAAATCCTCCCAAGAAGACTCTGCCGTACACCCAAGAAAATGCACCTGCGCCTTGATACGTGACAGATGATACTGGAGTCTATAAAACATGGCAGCATCCTTTGCCGTCTGCATGCTGCGTGCCTCAAGCACGGGTTGATGGCCGTGGAATTGTGGTAACGTCCGCAACACAACTGCTGTGGAAGGGGATTGGGCCATCTCACTCAGGAGGTGTATGGCCTCAAACACAGTACGACCACTGCAAGAAGAAACACAGTCCATAACTTCATCCACCACCAGCCCCAAAAACAAAGTCGCTAGTGCTTCCGATTTGTGCAGAGAGAACGCATCCCGCAGTGAATCCCGCAGTTTATTTGATTCATCCAGCCTATCCAGCAGCAGTATATGCCAGGCAGCACGCAAGAATCCAAGGAGGGCGCCATGCAAGTGACGCCCCGCTGCCAATGGCAGGAAATGGGCAAAGGAAACTTGATGGCTTTGCTCCACAACTCTCAAACACGCAAGCAGTACACTGGAGTCCAAAGCGCGCGCATTGCGGCTAAAACGGTACGAGGACAACCAAGAACTGGCGAGGGTAATGATGCACGCCAGCCGTTCGGACACACACGACAACTGAGGTGAGGTGTGGGCCTCGGGCACCTTCATTGCCTCCAGCAAAGAGGATGTTTCATGAAGAAGATACTGCTCAGCCGTTTCCCCGCAGAAACGCAGCAGCTGAGAGACAAATTCAAACTCCATCAACATTGTTTCCGTATCTGCATCCAAAATGTAATCGTCAAATGCAGATGTCTCTCCATCGGTGGCAAATCGTTCCGCTTGTTCCTGATTGGACATCATGTAGGCGAGGCATACATCCGGTGCAAGTAACTCAAATAACGTGCAGCCGTCCTTGCAGTACGACTGAGACCCAACCAGTTTGGCCCAAATGGACGTCAACGAAAGAAACGATTGCCGTGCATGACGCCAGTTTTGAAAGCACAACTTCGTAAAGTCGGCGGCGGCCCGCACCCACCGCTCGTAGCAGGGTGACCTTCGCAGCTCGTCAATCGTAAAATTTGGTTTGATGCGATTCAGCAACCTACAGAATTCCCGCAGTACTGTAGTCTCCTCCAGGTGTGAGCGCGACTCCATAATGGACAAGGTGGCGTCAAGGATGGTATTCATCCATTCCGTCTGTTGCTGGCGGGATGCGTAGAGGGACGCACTCACCGAGGCAAGCGGTGTGAGGGCCTCCAAGACGTTGCACAATAACTTTGCATCCGTCACAGGTGCGGCGTACACGTCAAAGAGCCGTGTCAGCAAACCCTGGTCCACGAGATCGGCTGCCCATTCCTGGGGAAACTCAAACGTCATGACATCGTTCAGCGCTTCATCGCAGGAACACGTGAAGTCAAACACGAGAACCCGTTTCACCAGGGCTACCACGCTACAAATGGCTTTCCACTGTGTGTGCCGAAGCCGCTTCAGGCAATGCGAAGCAGCACGAAACACCGGAAGCAGGCATTCATCACGGAAACACGTGCTTGTTCGTTTGTGACGGATAAGACTGAACCCCGCTCCCTCAGCGCATTCCATTTCGTCGATGAAAGAGACCAGAATGTTACACGCAAGGGCAACGTGCCTTTCCGAGTAGTCGAAATCCTCCACCATCAACGCGGCTGTTACACGGTGGGGGAAACCCTGCAGCTCTGGCGCGTCACAAAAGCCCTGCTTCACCACAGCGCAGAGGAGACGGATGATTACCTCCACACTGGAGGTATTCAGCACCTCGTGCCGCTGCACAATCAACCAGCTCAAACTGGCCTCAAGAGAGATGAGGTCGGATGCGCTAGAATTTGTACCCACCAAATGCCGCAGCGTTTGAGCTACAAAGAAGATGGCGTATGCTGACGTGGATTCCTGCAGTACCGTTTTCATCAACGGCAGCCCCATCGTGGCGGCCACTTTGCCCCAGCCCAGGTCTGTGACAAGCTGCAGCGCGGCTTTGTCCCCCCCATACAGACGCAACGCAAATCCCTCCACGGCTGCAATATCGTTGAGTCCGTTGGTAGACATAACCCCGTTGTCATGCACGCAGAATGATACTTGTGTGAGGGCAACTACAAAAACAAAACAAAACGGGAAAAAAACTAACTAACTAACAAGAGCAGATGCTAAAGAAATCCAATATTATATATATATATATAATTCGGAGGTTGGAAGCACCCACATATACAGAGAGACAGACCGACAGAGAGAAAGAAAGAGAGAAAGACGGAGGAATACGTGGGAAAAAAGGGACAAAACTGCGCCATGAACGTGCAGAAACAGCAACTAAAAAAAAAAAGAATAGGACTACACATTTTCGCTCTCTCATGAGACGGAACATAACCGTCATTGCCACGTCACAGCAGGTGAGTGAAGGCAGACACGATGAAACGAATAACAATACTCAACTAAAAAAAGAAAAAAGAAAAAAAAAGAATAGCGCGCAAATTGGACACCACATAACAAGACAGCGAGAGAGAAACAACGAGAAAGAAAGACAACAAAAACGTCTACCCACCTAAAGTCATACGGGCCGTCTCATAGGCATTACTCAGAGACATACGAAATGCTGGGTCCCTTTCACTTTAATGCTCCAAACGCAGCGGGTTGTCTTCGCTTGCTCGCTGAGCCACAGGCACATGATAACCTCCAGAGATTACTTCTCTACCATATGGTGTTTGGTGCAGTCCCGCCTCGAACAAGGCGAGTTGAAGACGGAACCGTGGGTCACGCATGAAATTATCCACGGTGTACCCGTGCAGCTTGTATTGGGCCGCTTCGGAGAAGGAAACGAAGGGTACTTCCTGCTGACTGGAGGTGGTGGGCTGCAGAACTCTTTCAGCGTCACACGTCACCCCCAGGCGTCGCTCAACACCTTTAAAAAAGGCCTCCAATGCTCTTTGATGTGCTCTATTTAATTCCGCTATTTCGTCTTGATTTTTCTTGCGTAATCGACACTTTTCTGCATATTCCCTTTTCCGTTCCTCCACACGTTTTGCGTTGTGGTCTTGCTGAATTGCCCTTTTCAGTGCAGCCTCCTCCTCAAGTGCCTGCTGGACGGCACGCTCCTTCTCCTGCAGTTCCCGCTGCTGCTCCTGGTACACCCGCAACCGGCCTAGACGCTCCTGAAACTCCGCTTCCCGAGCATGAAGTACCTGCTGCCGCTTTTCATCCTCTTCCATATTTTTCGCCTCTTCTTCTGCGCGACGCAATGCGTCCTTCACCTCACGAGCCTCACGAAGCCGTTCAAGCTCCTTTTGTGCCTTATATTGGCGTTCCTCACGCACTCTCGCCTCGTCCTTAATGGAGTTCCGCAACTGCATGATCTCCTCCTCAGCCATCATGGCCTTCTTAAATGACTCAAGCAGCTCCGTGGCCCTTTTATTGTACTGAAGTGTGACGGAGCGTAGGTAGACGCGGTCTCGCTTCTGCCGCAGCGCCTCATCCACGGCCCGTCTTGCCAAGGTCTTGGTAAAGTGTGGAACAGCACGCCGGACGCGGTCGTAAACCTCGTCCAAGACGGCAGACGCAGTGGTACCGGATTCCATTTCAGCGTCGTATGTTTTCAATATCAATGAAACCGTGTTCAGCTCTGTTGGAAGGAACGGTACACCGCTCTTCTGATCCTTGCCAGCTGCGGTCTGCGAGACGGCGGCTGCCCCCGCCGTCTGCAGCGCAGTTCGGTACGTCTCCATCAGCGCGGCATGTAGCGTTCCATCGCTCGACTCACAGAGTCCTTCGAAGGTCTCCATTTTTGCCTGCATCAACTTCTGAAGCGCCTCCATTGGAGTGTCCTGGCTACCCTCAACCCTCGCATCCTCGGCGAGGATTTGTGCTGCCTCCACATCTGTCGCTAGCTTCTTCTGAAGAAGCTCCTTCCGTAGCACAGAGAGTTTTTCTGCAAGCGCCTGCACCGTCTGCTGAGATGGCTCTTCATTGTGCTCGCGCAACTCCTGCAGCGCCTTTCGCACGGACATGACACCCGCACTCAGGGAGTTTAAAAGTTGCATGTTTTGCTCCCCCTGCTTCGCCAATTCGTGCCTCAGCGACTCTGGCAGCAGGTGCATGCAGGAAGCATACGCCTTGCCCAGCTCCAAATCCGAGGAAATAAATTCCCGCTGAAGCGAGGCGCACGCCGCCAGCCAGCGCCCCTCGCGTTTTACTGTTTCCGTCACTTTTTTATGCGCGTCAATTTTGGAGTGGAGGCATTGCAACTTCTCACTGTCCCGCCGCGCCTTTGCCCGCCACTCCATGAGTGCCGCCTCCTGTTCTTCGACGGAGAAGGCAATGATGTGCGCTCGGTGACGCAGCGCCGCCGAGTTCTTTGGTGGCGGCATCGGCGTTCACTACGCATGGGGGTGAGAGGCAAGGAGAACAAGAACAAGAACGAAAAAAAAAAATGTAAGGAACAAATATTACAAGAGGGAGCGAAAGAGTTCATTTACAGGCATCCTCCTTAAGACAACACACATGCTAAAAATGTGCTGAAAGCCCCGTGACGGAGGGCTGCAGTGCCCACAGATATGCGTGGGCGTAAATCGTAGCGGAGGGAAGAACAAATTGAAGAGTAACACACATAAAAAACCAAAACAAACAAACAAACAAACAAACAAAAAAAAAAGGGATGACGGTGCGGGGCGGTTGGGGAAGAAAAAAAATCACTCACTCACACACATACACACGACGAAACACAATGACGATCCATCGAAAAGTTTTACTTCCGGTGAAGAATTCGTACGGAGCGGCGGCGCCCAGCGGCGGAGAGACTCACCCACGCCCCCCACGACAAGAGAGCTGAAATAAATATGCGACGTCACGACTTCGTCTTTGTTGTACAGGGCTGAGTGAGAACAAGTTTTCCTTCCGGAGTTAACTGGCAGTCCGCCCTTCCCGCAAGCAGCTTCTTGCTTTCGTCGGATACACCCACCGGCAACAAGCCACGTATCTTGTCATGAGCCTCGCTTGTGCAGCAGCAGAGGTTGCGGATGCAGAACTCGGCCCACTCTACCATGCCGGGGTTCTCCTCGTCAAATCGCGTGCTGGTGAGAACGGCCGATAGAAGTGCAGGGTTGCCTACGACGGAGGAACACGCCTCGCGGTTATCAAGGGTGAGGTTCGCTATCAAGCGCATGTGTTCGGTTCTGTAACCCTCCTGAAAGAACGCAATTTCGTGCTCACATGGAATACTCAAGGCGTCCGCCACGTAGGCCAGTACGCCACACCGCAACAAATACATTTGCAGAGCCTTTACCAGCCGAGGGTGACACACCAGAATGAGGCAGAGCAGCTCTACGGAGGCGTAAGACAAGTGTGCACCCGTCTCCAACCACGCCTCCGACCCATCGCAAACGTCCTCTACACTGCTATTTCGTGGAATACTGTCGGAGGCCCTTCCGTCTGCAGGGGTGCTACTCCCATCACCAGAAGCATTCTTACTCCCAGCGAGGCACTTGGACGTACGGTGTCTCCTTGTACGGCGTAATATATGCGGCGCAATATGCAGAGCAAGATCAGCCATTCGCTGCAAGACGCGTTGCAAGTGCAGCATCTCCTCACCCTCCTCACGCTTGGCTTGAAACGCTGTTTGGTCGACAGCCTGTTCCAACTTGAACTTGAGGGCGTAATTGCGCAATTCACCATCGGTCTCAGATAGCATCAACAACGAGTCCACCTTGGTGCTTATCAGCCTAAGCACCTCGGCATCAACCTCTTTAATGGGGGCATCGCGGCCCGACATTCCCATCCTCTTATGCCCCACTGCGTCGGGAAGAAATACACTAAGGCATACAACAATGTATATATATATATATATATATATATATATGGAAGAAGGAAAAAATGTGAAAGCAAAGACAATCAGAAATGCCAGCAAAGAGAGAGAAAGAGATAAAGGAGTAGGAAGAGAAAAAGGTCCACGTCACCACCCCTTCCTTCCCCTTCCATATATATATATATATATATATTTATACGCTAACACGAAGACATTTTATTTCAACCGTTTTGAAGAACATCATGCACTCACAAATAACGCCGCTACCTGCCGTAGCGCATTGTGTAGCGCAGCATCCCGCAGGATGTAGCAGTCATGGGATCCAAAGGCAAAGGTGCACATCAAAAAACCCCGAAATCGCGAATCCAACGCAAATACTTCGTATGGAGGACACTCCTTCTCACCCAACATTGTGCCGAAGCCCTGACACAGAGTGGCAATCACATGCTCCTCCTTAACACGAGGCTCAAAGTACCCACTCGAGCTATGCCTCCTTTTCCCTTGTAGCATGTGCTTGATGTGCGCTAGCAACCCCAGCTTCTGAGAAACATTAACACTCGAATGTTGCGCGGCAGCCTCCAACGCATCTTTGCAAACGACGGCATCGGACCCACAAAAAAACTTTTCTGCATCTACGGTCAAATTTATTGTGCGCTGAAAGGGAAACACTCGAACACAGGACTGCCCCACCGAACTCACAAGCAAAACATAGGGAAAGTTGCCTTGTAACGTCGCAGGAAACTGCAACCTCAGTACATCCATATTGGAGACGGCGGGTGCATCGTACCGTGAGAGTACTGTAACGACACCGACTGTGACAGCATCGGTAACGCTCAGCAAAGCGCACTGACGCTTAGAAATGAGAGCCACTCGATTGTCTCCGGCCGGCGCACAGCGCACCGCTACCCATTGTGAGAAGTCCCCATCAAAGACGCGCGTCGGTGGACCCGTCTTCATAATGGACGGTGGAGAAGACGACACCCGAAAGGGCTGCACTGTGCCGTCCTCCAATGCAAGCAAGAGTAGATACTGGCCCCCGCCAAGAGCAAGGCAATACTGCAGACAAACTTTGGCCTGCATCTCAAACCTAAGCAGGAGGCGTTTCCCTAAAGAAGCCAACGCTACCCATCCGTGTTGCGTTATTCTCGAAGGGCACACGACAAGAACTTCACAACAAACATGAAAATGGAGCGAGCCCCGCGGCACAGCAAGAGACAGCTGATCCAGAATCGTCGCACCGTCCCTTCGCTTGCGCGGATCCACAGGAACAGTCACTGAGAGCAGAGAATGAGCGCCCAAACAGGATAACAAAACACACTGAATAGATGCATCATAGCAGCCTGTACACGACGAAAAAGAAATGCCAGTCAAGACAGGTTGGGCAGTCAACACATCATCCATGCATGTCAACGGGCCTGTATCCAGCACCAGCACGCAGCCAGAGGGGGTATCTGGTTGACAAAACAACAGCAACCCCTCAACAAATATTATTTTTACACTCGTATTACATCCCGGGAGTCGTATCATCGTGCGCCATCTACGTGCTGCGTCTGCCACGGAAGAGACACCTCCGCCGTCCACATCGCAGCTGTATAGGTGCAACATACAGTATACCTCTTTCTTGTTTGCGTCGTGAACGAGGACGGCAACACCCGGAGTTGACTCGGGGCAGTCCAAGACAACAACCTGCAGAGCCTTCTGCGTCCTTCGTGGTTGTGCACGAACCACTTCACACTTCTCGAGCAAAGACCGCGTCGAGAAGGACTCCAGGATAGACGCGACGTTTCCTGCATCCGCGGTGGCCTCCATCTCCAGTTTCTCAACGTCGTAAAAGCAATGGCTCAAAAACGAGCGATACAAACATTCAGCCTCAATAGCCGCCGTGGCCATCATCAACTGCCATCCCACTTAACCCTTAACTAGAAGTACCTTCAGACGCGAGGGACGGGGGGAGCAGGTTGCATGTATCAATGATTGTGGTATGATGGCCGATACCAAAACAAAACAACATACCAACAAAAAAATAAATTGGCGACGGGCGACTCCAACGCATCAATACCGTCTCTTCTGCCTTTCAGCGAGATGTAGCGGCCAACAGCGAAGATCACGCATCAAATGCCTTACAAGTTGAGACGACGAGGCATGACAGCGGGCAACCGAGACTCAAAGAAATGAAATGCATTTGGGCAGTCCAACTCCCTCAAAGAAAAAGAAAAAAAAACAAGGTCCCCCTCGTTGGAAATTTCCACGCTGCCAGCCAACCACCACAACTCACCGGAGGCGCACCATCCTTCTACAGGATCCTGACCCGCTCTCTCTCTCTATCACTCTTTCCCCCACGGAGAAGGCGCAAAAGTGATACTGATCTCCTCTTTCAGAAGAACTCGCCCCATTCCGGATTAAATACCTATATTTTCTTCCATCGTGGTGTGGGCTGGGAGTCTTCTTGTGTGCGGCCCCCTCAACACAATGCGCAAAACATATCTTTCGTTATTGTGGGCACCTGGGTGTGAAAACGAGGCTCTCGCATCTCGCATCCACGTGATGCCGCCCCAGAACACACCGCGATGTGCAGACGCCCACACACGCAAGAAGAAATTTGAAGCTGAGGCATGAAAACAAATACAGCAAAGGTGTGAAATGACACATAAATAATCGCAATCACAAGAAGACCAAGCAGTCAAAACCACCCACATCATACCACACTGCCACCGTCCAAATCAGAAGGATGAGAGCACTGAACCCTCCTCCTCTCAGAGGCATATTGTTCTGCATTGCATACCTCGCTAGGGATCCATCCCAATTCCGCGCCTACGTGAAGAGTAGTGGCTTATTTAGATCGATTATTGAAGCGTGACGCAACACCTCGAGTTGACGAAGAAGGTAACGAAGGGGCATCCTTCACTTCTTGCAGTTTCACGCCAGATGGGTTCGCCTCTAGTAGAGCACGGCCTGGTCCATCAACGTAGTACTTTGGGTTTGGGCATGAGGGGACCTCACAGTAGATGGGAAGGGTGGCCACCCACTCCCCCGAGGCACGAAATTTATGTCCACAGGGGCACTGCCACTCCCGCTCCTCAAAGAGTTTGGTTGTCATCTGCAGCGCCTGATTAAAGGCGTCTTTGAGGGTGGGCGGGGCCCCGGACGAGGTTGCGAGGGCATTAGATGCCTTTTTTCCCGCCTGACGCGAGACGAACGTCTTAATTTTGTCAAGCATACTTTTCAAGTGTGAGGCACACCTACTCAAGAAGCAGAGAAATGCATTGGAAGGTGGGGCGGCAGGAGCAGGAGCAGCAATGAGAGCAGCCACGCGTCAAGGAAACACCCGGCCCTTCTCATCCACATGAAACAGGCAGAAGGGGGTGGCAATGAAAAGAAACCACATCACCTCGAGGGCTTACCCTCGCCGGATGACGGAAAGAAAAAGTCATAACTCCACTTAGCCCGCACCCACACACGCCGCGCGCTCAAGACAAGAGCGGATCTGAAGGGCACACGCGTTCGTCCCACCTCTGACCGCTTGGCGGCCTCTAGCTACTTCACGTCAATTGCATACGGGTGACGCTGGCATCGATAACACCGCCGAAACATCACACATAAACTGCCAAACTACACCCCAACCTCTTTCTACTTTGACGTACGGACTCAATTCCTTTCCACCACAACCACCGCCTCCGCCAGCACGCCAGCGGCGAACCATCGGGAGAAGCAACAGGACAAAAAAAAAAGTTCGAAATCACTGCGGTGGGTGCTCCAGTGTACAATAAAAAACAGACAAACAACAAAAACATCCAAATGAACGGAATAATACAAACGAGGACAACAGACTCCACACATACCCAAAAAATGTACATGTTTATTTATTTATACAAGCTAAGGATAATGGGGCGGCGACACACATTGAACGCAGTCTACGGCAGTCAGAAGCCGCACCCGTTCGTCAGTCCCTGTGGCATCGGGAAGGAAACCACACACAAGCAAACGAAAACGAAACAACAAAATACAACATGACTTCAATACAACAGCAATTACACATACACCCCATGAAAAGCTGCCACGACACGCCCCTACCATAAATCCGCAAACCCAGCAGTGTAGGCAACACATGCCGCCACAAAGCTACCACTACATTCCTCACAAAAACCAATAAGAAAGAAAAAGAAAAACACTTGTGTAAAAAAAAGTTGCGCCACACAACCATGTACCTCCTATGGCGTCCACCTCCCCCTTTTATAAAAGGGCATAATTCCCCTTGGCCTCCTCTCCCCCCTTACACCCTGTGCAAAAGCGCAGGACGTTGCGGGGGGGACAGAAGAGCACAACGAAGGCGGTTTCTAAGTGCGCCGTGAAAAATAGGGGTAGGGGGATACATGAAATGGAAATAACACACTCGACACGCCACGCAGAGAGGTGTACCACATTTTTGTGACACTCGCCCGTCCCCGACAAAAACAACAACAAAACACCAAACTCCACGTCTTCACGTACAACAAATGACACGGAAGAAAACGGAGGAAAGAAAAACCTATGCTATTAGTCCTAAAAAAAAAAAAACGCAACGAAAAAAGAAATAATTAGAGAGTGACAGATTGCTTCCCCGCAGAGAAGGGTGCGCTTGAGCGCCCAAGGCTTCATGCCGTCGTTAGCAGCCACCTCAGACCTCAAAAAAAGGCAAAGGGCCGGAAGAGGCCTGGCCACTTGCTTGCTCGGCCTCACAGCACGAACGACACGCTACCCAAACACACCGTACAAAGACGCCCCCGTGCCAAAGACAACCGCAATCACGCCAGCAATGAGGAGGAGGTAGGTGCAAACGTAGTTCGCAACTCCCACAGTCGCCAGGCTCCAGTTCCCACAGTACATACGGTACAGTGCTGGCAGGCTAAAGCCAAGAATACCACCGCAGAAGCTGCCCAGCAGCCCAAAGACGGTGTTCAGCACAGGAATAAAGAGCCCAAGCAGCAGGGCGCAGAGCGCCATAACCCCGCAGAAGAGGCAGTTCTTCCAAGCAGGGACCGTGGCCAAATCCCATCCGATGATGTAATAACAGCAGTTGCGAGCAGGCTGCATGCACAGCGCAAAACCAACACACAGCTTAAACACGATACCTGCGTAGGCGATCGCCATCATCACATCGCCTCGGACATCGTAGAACACGAGAACAGTGTCCGTCACCTTGGCTCCAAAGTCGGCGTAACCAAAAAAGCCGGCAACGATGTACGCAATGCAACACAGAGTCATGCTGCATGCTGTGTGGAGTGTCATGCGTTTCGCGCTCGGCTTCCGCATTTCCGCAAAAACCGAGAAACAGTTCATGTGGCATAGATACGAAAACATAAAGATGGAAAGGCCTTCGATTGCCCCGTTTCCCGTCTTGAACATGACAACATCATCACGGAGTTTTCCGCCCCGAAATCCATTACGCACGGAGTGGACCACAATGCACAAAATAAAGAAGCAAATGAAAAATACTCCAGCAGCAGAGGCGTAGCGCAGGGAGTTGATCTCCTTCGGTAGCGACAACGAGAACATGCCCACAAACCAGATTGCACTTGTCGCCACGCGATTGCCTGCCACGGAGCGCCAGAACTCTGGCAAGGAGGGATCGGACAGTACGGGCTCCATGAGGCGGCCAATGGCAATGACGTAGCCCACACAGGTGCCAAAAGTGAACAACCACGTGAGAGAGACCGTGAAGTAGTCCCACCCCCGACCAAACAGCTTCCTTGAAAGTTCCGCGTCAGAAGTATATCCGGTCAGCTCAACGGCCTGTATCATCAGGCCGACAGAATAAACAGTGCACAGCGTCACAAGCACAAGAAGAATAACAGAAAACGCGGCACCGCTCATCTGAAAGGCCGCAGCCAGGCTGATCACCCCGCCACCGAGCGTTGCACTTGCAAGGTTAAACGTCGTCGACAAGACACCACCGTGCGGAATTATGCGTGATAAGCAGCTCAATACGCCCCTTGCAGAACCCGTGTGCTTGCAACCCCTCTCGTTGCCTTCTTCGCCAGGCAACCAGGACCCCATGGAGGGGTTATCCTGTGGAGCCATGTCACCTCTGCTGTATTGGAAATGTATTTTACAAAGAAATATCCTGGCCACCTGTGCCCAACAATGCTGCTGCTTCTGCGTCACTCTCTAATCACTCTATCAGCAGAAAGAACAAAACTCAAAGCAAGCAAGCACACGCACACGATGCGACCAAAATAGTCAATGAGGAGCCAGGCTCTTCGCTTCCCACCGACTCCGCTCCCTTTCGGCAGACACACCACCCAACCACACCCTACACAGCTTTTATCTGGATGCCTTTCATTAATGCATATGGCACCTACGGCGGAAGATATCATCAATTGTATTTTTGTTTTGTTTAAAACACTTTAGTGGCGGTTTCTTTGTGCACCAAACAAATGCGAGTCCCTGCGACAATGCCTCTGCCTCTAGTCATGACGGGCGACAAGGTTCCGCCAAGCGGAACCCGTTTCATTACACCGCAAGGTCGCTGACCGTTAAAGAATCCGTACATAGGGGAGGGGTGGAGGGTGAGGGGTGACTCTGCGTGGAAAGAAGGTCCGTAGGCGGCACGCCCATACATGGAGGTACAAGTGTTTCTCGTTTATGCTCAATAACAACAATGAACAACAAAATAAAAAAAAGAAACAAACTCTTCCACCAACACACACACACACAAAAAGTCTCACGTTTTGCATAAAACAAGGCACAATAAGAAAGAAAAAGAAAAACACTTGTGTAAAAAAAAGTTGCGCCACACAACCATGTACCTCCTATGGCGTCCACCTCCCCCTTTTATAAAAGGGCATAATTCCCCTTGGCCTCCTCTCCCCCCTTACACCCTGTGCAAAAGCGCAGGACGTTGCGGGGGGGACAGAAGAGCACAACGAAGGCGGTTTCTAAGTGCGCCGTGAAAAATAGGGGTAGGGGGATACATGAAATGGAAATAACACACTCGACACGCCACGCAGAGAGGTGTACCACATTTTTGTGACACTCGCCCGTCCCCGACAAAAACAACAACAAAATACCAAACTCCACGTCTTCACGTACAACAAATGACACGGAAGAAAACGGAGGAAAGAAAAACCTATGCTATTAGTCCTAAAAAAAAAAAAAAACGCAACGAAAAAAGAAAGTGCTTGAAGTTGTATGAACGCTTTTTTTTTATTGTGGGATGTAAAACGTCTTATATTTTGTAGGTGGTTTTTCGGCAAATGTATATATAAGCAATAACAATCTCTATATAGCAATTTCGATTGTTTGGGGTGGGTGGGTGGGTGGGTGGGGGGAGGGATGTTATGTTCGTGTTTTGCAATTTTGGAAAATTGCTCTGCATTGCGTGTACAATGACACGTAAAATGAAATAAGTATAGATAGTGTCACTACTATGGATGTGCAACGCAGTGAATTAGTATACATATATGGGGCAGCGATCTAGTGAAAATACATCAAACCAATTCCATTTTGGTTCATCGGCCTTTTTTCACGACACTTTCGAAGGTATAGCGGTATATAGTCATTTATATACGCATGGTCAAGATTATAACCAACGGTTATATTATAGGTAGCACATCTCCCAAAAGTAAATAACCTCATCTATTCTGCTCTGCAATAATTCCTTCGAGGTCAAAACATATTTTTTTCCCCATTGCCCCATATGGGGTTAGGTATGTTAATTCGTGTTTTTCAATTAATGGTCATGCGTCATAGGTTGAAGACACTATCACAATCAGTAATAGCCAAATAGAGGGAATTGTGCCGCCATAATTAAAACCAGATGGCAAATTAATGACACTATTCTCTAGCGTAGCACTAGACAGAGTAAATGACGCTCAAAGTAAGCATGTATAAGGTAGTAAATCAACCTTTTTAAATAAAAAAGGCCTGGAGCAGGAGCATCACATATCAAATCCATAAATAACCTCATTTGCCATGAGAGGCAACGAGTATTAGTATCCGAACCCTTCGCTATCCTTTCTCAACCTGCTCATTAGAGATAAACGGAATTTGTGTCCCTTAACGTTACAAAGACTAGAAAAAAAAAGTGCATTTTTTTGTGGTTAAACTACAAAGAAAACAGTAGACATAACCAGGAAGCCCACTTTATCAATGAAACATTTTACATTTATATACGATGCTTCGCCTTGCTTTTCAGTCTCCATTTCGAAACCAATCCAATAAGGAGGCGGCAGCCTTTGGCAGTGATTTACCCCAGCGCAATGGTAAATTCATCACGAGACAAGAAATAACACATGTTCCTTTAACCACAACAACTACACCCTCTCCAGAATGTACAATCTCTGAAAAGCCATCAGACAAGCAAAATTCTATAAACAAGCCATCCTGACGAAAAGAAGTCAAGAAACATGGGCGGAAACGATCGGGGATCCTTGCTACATCGTGAAAACAAACACAACCATCTTCCCATATTTTCACTGCATTTTTGACCCACGAAAACCTCCGTAACAGTTCTACTTTAGGCAGAGATATGGCATTTTCGATACTGCAACCGTACTCTATGTAAAAACTAGGAAACGCATCTTCATACGCAATAAGAAGATTAGAACCATCGGAGAAATAGCAACCGAAATATTCAAATTGAATCTGATAACAAAGGACAACGATAATCTCTTTCTGTGAGTCCTTCCAAATAAAATTCGGGACCATTATCCTTCCAATTAGCGACGAAAACGGAGTTAATGATAATTTCTCGCCACAGCTCATACACAAGTCTCGCCCACTTCGTGCACAATGAAAAAAGGGTGTCTTCAAAAAGTCCTTGGAGCACATGTCACATGTGTATCCCATTTTATATTCCGGCTCAAGATCCAATGGAAGGATCTCATAATACCGAAAAATGCACTGATCCCCTGCCTTCATAAATCTACTTTTTCGTGTAAACAAGGATAGAAAAAAAAAATACAACATTGAAAACAACCAACAACCACAAAAAAAAAAAAAAACAGAATAACAAGAACAAAAGAACTGCAAAAAAAAAACATATACCTCGCACTTACAACTGAGCACACTCATAAATTAAAAAATAACACATGATAGCAAGAATAGCACAGCCACCCCAAAAACGATTACTGACCATATCCAGCAAGAAAAAAAAACATAAAATAATGATAAATCACAATAGAGAACAATAAAAAAAATCCGTAAATTAACTGCAATTGAGGCCATCGTTTCGAGTATTATGCTTGTGCAAGAAACAAAAACGAAAAACAGTTAAGAGGTTAGTTAGAGACCTGTTTCCCTAACAGTTAGAACAAAGAAGAAATACAAGTTTTGAAGACATTAAACACGTAACTCCCCCGAACAAAATTTAGGTGCGAGTAATGTGGGGAGGGGGAGGGGGGTGAAGACGCGTAGCTAAACGAATTACCCACTTTACAAATAATAATAAAAGCAATAATAACAAGAACAATTACCAACAATAATTTAGCTAAAAAAAAAGACAAATCTAAAAATTTTGACGACTGCGACGGATAACCAATACACTTCAAACTTCAGTGGAGATACCACTACTCAGCAGTTATGCCAATCACTTTTTACAAGAACAAAAACAAAAAGAAAAAAGTGATTCTGAATGCCTGAACACAACAAATGACCCAAAGAAACAAGAACACACATATGGACAGAAAATGGCTCCCGCGCGGACCGTTCCATCCCAAACAAAAACACCAACAAAAAAAAACTGAAATGGCACCAACAAAAAACAATCGAGACAACGAGCGCATGCAGCACCTTGCGCCAGAGAAGCCAGTAAAAATAAGCAGCCAAGAATAAATAAATAAAAAAAGCCCGGGACGGCGCTGCCGGCAACGTGGCCCCCGGGGCGGGGAAAGCGCCGAAGGGAGACGCCCAGCGCCCCCCCCTTCACGACTTGCTGTTCATTTTCGGTTTCTTTTTGCATGCGGCGCTGCGTCCTCTTTCCGCCGCAGCGGGGGGTCGGGCCCCCGCCTTCGCAGACGGGGGCGGGCGGCTTCGGGGCAATCGTTTGGGGGCGCCCGCGCAAATATAAGCATTTGAGGGTCCGCCCATGTACGGATCTGGCGAACGCAATGTTCTTGTAGCTGTTTTTTTATTTTTATTTTTGTGAGGTGTGTTGGGTGAATTTTGTTTTTCCGGTGCTTCTTGGCTTGATGCCAGGTCCCAGATATTTTTAACTTTTTCCCAATATATATGTTTTTTTGGCACCTTAGATTTATATCCAAATACATAATATGGATTCATCGCCAGTAAATCCGTACTTGCTTTTTGAAAACACAGAGGCTTTCCGTCCCGCAGACAAGGTTTTGTACGCACTTAAACACCCCATCGGACAGAAAGATCCAAGGGGCTTGCGAAAACCAATTCAACTGAATGATTATCATTATATTATTCGCTCTACTGAGGAGCTTCGACGTCTTGTCACATTACCTGCGATGCCTATTACAGGAGCGACTTTTAACGAGCAGTTAACGAGCTCACTGTACAGCTCTCCTGAGGCGTCGTGTATACCGCTATTTTTGGATAAAACACGCGGTTCACCTGTAGAGGATACTCAAGGTCTTCAAAACGAACCATGGGATAATATTTACTCTGGAACAAGTGTTTGGCGTTGGCCCATGGAAGTTCTATATCAACAGTATCATTTATTGATTGCTATTGATTTTGGGACCTCAACATTTGGTGTTTCAAGGAATGGGGAGGTACTAGTTGATCATGTGCCTGATGCTATTGAAGCTTTACTGGACGTGGTGAGAAAAACGATACAAACGCGTGAACAGGAAGAAAAGGAAATAAAATATTGGGTTGACATGCATATGGAGGAGTCGGAACACAGTAATGTTCTTCGACATGTGTGGAAACCTCAAATTGATATTTCTATCGTCCTTATTAATTTGCCTAGATTGGAGGTGAGTGCGCTGACTTCTATTTTTTCGAATTCTTCCTCCTCTGAAACGGGGCGGGAAGCTGGCATAGATGAAGGCCATCCACACTTGTTTCCGGTGGGTGCTATACCGTTTTCTATCTTTGAGGGCAATTTGCCTAAGGACATGTCCACTAGTCCTTTCCTGATTCCTCTTATGACACGCTGTAACGCCGAGTTGGTTCTGAGCGATGAAAGCTTTTTATCTCGGTTAGGCCAACAACTTAGAGCCTACGAAGAGGCATGTTGCTCACGACTGGTAGATGTTTGGCCCGAGCGAAGTTTGTTTACTTCCATTGACCACCTTATACGCTTGATCCCAGAGCGTGCATTGTGTTGCACAAGTCTTGTTCTTCTTAGTAACGCAGATAAAGGAGGATTACCTAATAGTTTTTCATTATTAGAAAGCTCTGTACGGAGGAAAAATATTATTCTATCTATTTTGTTTTTGAATGAGACAAATCCGTTTTTTGATTCAAATTCAAATTCTCTATCACAGTTTTTGTCGTCTGTGGGAGGTTTCGGAGTTCATTTTGATCAGTGGCTTTCACTAGCAGTTCCAAAGCTTAATACTGACTGGTGTCGTCGGCTTGGAGGTCCACGGTGCCTGGCGCAACAACTATTTGTGCAACTAGACACTAAATTTCCTTTAGGTATGGAGCATGCTTCGCAGCATATTTTAACAACGTGTACTGATCGGACTAATGATTCTTGTATCCTATATAACTCTGACAATGGCCTTGAAGATTTTACTTTGCTTCATGAGAGTGATGTTACTTCTGCCATTCGTTGTGTAGCGGAGGCCCGAATTAACGAAGGATGGAGTGTGGTGATGAATCATAACGCAGAAACTCCTTGTATTGCAAATCTTTATGCTCGTCTTCAGTGTAATTTTCGACATGGGAAGCTTTCTATTTCGTATGAGATGGATATTAGCTATCCAGTGGTATATCGCCGTGTGTTGGTCCAAGGTTCAAAAGAACTGGTTGAATATTTTGTGAGGGTGAGAGGTGATGACATGACTGTTATACCCACACCTGCAGAGAGTAAAACAGGTTGGTTGATGTATCTTGTAATCTTGCGTTCTCAATTACGCCGTTGGATGCATGCTGAGCAGGTGGCTTTTCACTGTTTGTTTACGTCACGCCAAACACACCGGCCTCTTTTGAAGGATATGCAAGAGCTTTCTTTCTGTGAAGGAGTTTCTGATGCGTGGTCAGCACACTGCAGTGTCCGTTCAGTTGGGTTTTTCTTTTCTTGGGATGAGGGCTTGTTCCACTGTTTAGATCCATGTAGGGGAGGATCATGGGGTAGTATGCCTTCTGTTTCGGTGTTGGCTCGTCGCGTTCTCTTGGACGCCTTACGGAAGCGACATGATCCTCTATTGCAGGATGAATATGATATGTTTTTATCTCTGGCAAAAAACGAAGGATCCCCTCGATATGTTGTTCAACTTTTTTTGCTAGATCATGAGTTTGTCACTGGCCACGAGGGTTTTTTAGCAGCAGCGTTTGAGTGTCGTTTGAGTTTCTTTCTAACGAATGTTGAGGATGAGTTACAAGCGCTTGCAGATATTATTGTTGATGTGAAGACGGGTGCTTTGGCTACCCCAAATACTGTAGTTGGCAATACAACTTTTACTCTTGCAGTGGAAGCCGTGATCAACGAAACGAATGCACGGGCGCTTCAACTTACTTTCTGTACTGTTTTACCGCGCCGTCTGGATTTAATCTCCAGTTACATGGAACCATCACCGTGTCGTCGCAGAGCTGTTTTGAGCGGGGCGACAAACCATAAAGCTCAGCATCTTGATTCCTCAACAAAATTGTCAGCAGGTGAAGAAATACGGAATGTTCGACAATTGACTTTTCGTTGCTTTTTGACGCCATATTTGGCAGGCCCATCTCTACTTTCTGACGCTATTGCTTTTTACTGGATGATTGGAACTGCTGAAATGTGGAGGACATTTGCTGTTCCTTCCTTCAATATTTTTGTTACACGCCGTGTTCGCAATGGGTTTCGCTTATTACATTGCATGGAGCCTCGGGAGGCGATACTTTATTCTACGCGAGTGTTTGGGGAAGGTCATGTAGTCGAAATATTTGATGTTATTGAGGCGCCCTCGGAGAGTGGTGACAGTGGCCTTTCGGCGCAGGTGATTATTTACAGATTTATACGCCCCTTTGAATATGCTGTTTCTTCGTTGTACCAACCGTTGCTAATGGCGGACATTTCAGAAGATATTCAAGTTGCTACGGTACTTCATACGTTTAAGGTTTTGTCCTCCGCACCATTAACTTCGGCTGTTGATCGTCCGGTGCCACTTAACGAGTTGAGTCGGGGATTTGTTCAACTTGTTCCAAGACTAGAGTCACTTCTTCCCTTCCTATCAGCTAGACATGCTCACACCATTACGTTACATTCTCTTCCCTCAATGGGGGAAAAAGGTGATGATAACCTTAGAGAGGCTGTGGCTTTTTTTGTTTATTCGCTTGGCGAACGATCGGCAACCGTTGATGCGTCTGCTCTTCATGAAAGTTTGCGACAAAAACTTTGTGGCTTAGACAATTTGGATGAAGCTTTACAAGAGCCAAAGGAGTTTTTTTTTTCTGTACTGATGCCACTGGAATACAATCATTTGACTTTTCTCCTAATGCCCCGTAGGTGTCATACCACGACGTTGAAGCGAACAAAAGGGATTAATGTCCATGTTATTTCGTTAGACACCACGGCTCTCTTCAAGGGTGTGATGCGACTGTATGGTAGGTCAGGTGACGTGGAAGAAGTGGATGAGCCGTGTTTACCCGACTGTTCCACTTCTTCTTTGTTGAAGGCTTTGAACAAATTGCTCACCTCATTTTGCTCGCTTTATCAAGCCTGGAGAATTATTGAACAACCATGTTATGATTGGGACTGCCAAGTTGCTAAGGAAGATATCGTTGCGCAGGATGTTCTGAAAACGTTTTCTATGTTTGAGGACTACTGTAAGGAAGTGGACATTTCATACCTTCTTTTTATCCAGGAGAGTAAATGGAAAGAACGTGGCGGTAAGGTCTCTTTTTACGAGAATCTGCGCTCGTTGATCACGTCAATGGTGCGTTCTATGTGTTTTCGACCCCTACCGACACATCCTGCAGTTTTTTTCCCAGTACACGAGAAAATTGACAGTCACACAGAGGGGGTTATTGGGGATGTTGCAGTGAACAATACTGTGGAGGCTTTGTCTTCGGGCAACACTGTTTGTCAGAGTCTCACGGTACCACCGTTTCTCATGAGGATCGCGCTGTTTCTAGTGTCGGAGGATGGTAGGGAGGTGGATTGCGTCTGTATATTTTCACCTACGCATGGTTCAGATGACCTGGATGATGCGTATATGTCTTCCTGGTCACCCATTGCCTTAGATAAGGCGCAGTGTGCTTCCCAGAGGAAGCTTTTGATGCGTTTTTTTGTAAAGACTGCTTCCAAGCAACTCGTGGATCTCGCGCGTAACACGTACAAGCCACCCACGGAGGTGATACAACGCATATTTAGGGAACTGTTGCACGATCGGCAAGATAATCCCTTGGATGATTCGAAGACACCACTTTTTTTTGCCAAGGAATCATCTGTAGAGGAGTTGAACTTACTCTCTAGAAAAGCATTGCCATTTGACGAGCTACCGACGGCAGTCCGATGCTTTTTTGATGTCTTGGCAGCGGATCTTGCAAGGAGTGTTGCGTACCACAGCTTGACGGAGTGCTTGCATTCCACACCCTTTGTGACACTACGCTCTCTCATTCAAGGTGAACCAACAACTACCAAGGCAGCCCCTTCTCTAACTGACTCGGAAAGTGTTGGTAATAATAATGGCAATAACAGCAACAGCAGCAGCAGCAAGAACAACAATGATTCAGATTACGATGATGATAATTTGGATCGAGAATCTTGTGACTTGCAGCTTTTGGCACACGAATCGCAAGAAGTTTTGAGTGCCGCTCTTGATATTCTCGGTCTTAGGGAACTTTTGGCTTTTGTGGTGACACCCGCCCTACTTAGTGTCCCTTGTTTTGAGGCCGATTCATTTACGGTGGAGTTCACGCAGTGCTCGTCTAGTGCCACTGTGAACCCTGCATTGGCTCTTTCCCATGTTTTCAAACGTTGTTTAGCGGATGATTTGGTTTGTGTTGTGCAGGTCACCTCCTCAAGTTTTATGCTGGTGCCAAATAGGAAATACTTTGCCTCTCGATGGATATTTATTCACGTGACCAACGATGTATGTGACGGTGCTCAGCGGGTGCATCTTTTATTTAACGAACATGAGGGTGATACAGGCGTCTGCCGACGCCTCTGCACGGGTCTTCGTCGACTGATCGAGACCAAGGTGAGAGAGGTCAGTTTGTTGCAGTTTTTAAAACAGTTACGTGATACGCAAAACGCACACAGTGAATTGATACCGCGTAACTGGGGAGACCAGTTCGCCTCTCCATCTCCAGTTGCCAAGGCAAATCGCGAATCCACAGCGTCTCTGTCGGCAGTGTTTGATTGTCGAGGCTCAACGGTGCTGAAACTACCGATCTACTATAAATTGCAGCACCAGTGTAAAAAGATACTCTCTCGCATCACTAGTAATTGTGCCAGACTTGAGTTAATCAATATTTACAACAGGGAGCAGTGCTTTGTGGTGACGGATGATGCTCAGACGGACGTGTTTCACTTTATTCGACTGGTGTTTGTGAAGGACACTGCACATTTACCGTTGCTAACTGTGCCTTCACCGGCACTTTCCCCTGCCGACCGTTGTCCTTTGCTTGTGGTGCAGTTGTTCAGCTCTACCAAAAATGCACTCGTGAAACGTCCCTTGCGCAAGCTGCAGGACTTTTGTTTTTTTTTGGCCGTACAAGAGCTTCAGGGACACCTGAACTATGTGCAACACAAGTTTATTTCCACGATGGATCTTATTTTCCTTCAGTGTCGACGTTGTGACCCTGTTATTGTGGACTTGGTAACAGCTGGCGGAGGTGTTACCCTGCAGCTAACGGACGTTCAGCTCGCTTTTGCTTTGGTCGTTTTGGGCCTCAAAGAGAACAAGTTTAAGTACTTTGACGTCCAGGGCGCTGGAAACGCCGCTATCAGTAACTTTGCGGAATACTATGGACTTGTTGAGGACGCGGGGGAAAAAGTAAGAAGAGGGGGAGGAATTACTCCTCATATTGCTCGTTTTGTGGAGATGGAGACGCCTGTAACTACACCTCCCGTGCCAGCATCGGTGCTCCGCTTTGTGAAGGTAATAGAGGGTGTGACAGACGTGCTTGTCTCCTGCACGCTTCATGTGAGTGACGGATCACAGCTGGTGCTAGACCGTTTTTTGACGAAAATTCCTGAAGAACGTTACACAATAGGTGAATCGGAGATGACTTACATTAAGCAGATTGAACACATTCTTGGAGATGCGGTGTCGCATTGGCGATTTTTTGCCCTCTCTAAGCGGCTTTGCGTGCTCTCCTCTTCCCAAGTTGGATCTGCCGTAGAGGAGTTGATTACATGTGCTGCAAGCGTTACCTCGACGGAATCGTCCACACTTCGCTTTGGAAATTTTTCATTGAAACGGGTTAGTCACGCCGTCTTTCCGTTTCTTATTCAGCAGCTTGTGGGGATTTTTCAGCCCTTTTCGCCGGTCTGTTTCCTCAAACGATTAAATGCTCCGCTCTTGCACATAGCCGGTTTTCCGTGGCGGTGGATCGAGCAGATGCAGAGGGACCTCCAGGCGGAGCAAATTGAGGTTTACCTCACTTGTGGGTATCAAATTACGATGTGTGATGAAAAAACGGAGGAACAGGCTGTAAAGGCAACTCGTTCTATGCATGAGCCGAACCTACACCTCCCTGTGAGCCAGGTGACTGTATTGGCACAGAGCCCTTTATTAAAGGAACACAATATAGAGGTGGGGATGCCAACGAAACCTCAACTGGTAGCGCGCATTTCTCTGACGAACGGCCTGACAGCCGCCCTTTTTAATCTGCGAGACTCCGATATTATGTTGCGCTTGATAGGGCACGTGGTTGCAAAAGCGGAGCAGCAGTCGGATCTGCTTCATGATATTATGGTGCAGAGAATGGGATTTGCGTTTCCATCTTACCTCACAGAACCGGTGTTAGCACGGTTTTGCTGCGGTGACGACAATAATGTGACTGAGGGAAAACGGTTATGCATTCACGATGAAACCTACCGAAGGCGCATTAATCATGTACGCTTTCCAGTTCAAAGCTCAGGGGGTGGCGATGCTTTGACGGTCATTGTGGAAGGGCTATTTAATCGTGGCCTTCTTGTGAATGGAGTCTTTATTGAAGAGGATGCGGTTCGTGCGCTGTATTGCGAATGCCCCCAATATTCATTGAAGGAATGCAAGCTAATTATGCAGGGCTTGGTAAAGGATGGCCTGCTTACAATGTGGCATAAACCAAATAGCCGTCGTTTGACAAATTCAAACAGTATTCCTGATGATGCACTTATAGGTTGTGACTTTCGCAGACACTTACAGACAGCTCACGTTCTTGTGGAGTCACAACACGCACGCTCGGGCATCATGGAGTCTCTGCAAGCCTGTGAGTCCCTCTTGAATTTGCCACCACTGGAGAGTGATATTTCGTTAGCCAAATTGGTCGTACTTCTTCAGGGGCGCAGCAAGCAAACACATGGACTCCGCGTACAGGACTTTACCCTTCCCCGTCGCTTGCCATGGTGCCGCTCGGACGACATTCTTGACCCATCGTTGCCCCCGAGGGGCAAACTTAGTTCTGAGTACCGCATGTCCGTTGACGTAACACTGCATTCATATGTGCAGTTTCTTCTACGCGTATTTCCACGGGCACGCGTTATTGACCTTGACGCAAACAACGCCATTGTATCATCAGATGCAACACTACTGCATCGGTTTCGTTGCCGCTACGGTAAAGTTGTTACCCCTGACGGGAATGAGATATGTTTTGTGCCCCATTTGTACTATGTGCTGATTCCCATGCTAGATACGAGGACCACGGAGGGCGGCGACAGCGATCTTGCTGCATCTGCCTCGCTTAGAAAAAGAGGTCTTTTTATTTTGGAGGTTGGATTTCAAGTCGCTTATTTTGCGCTTGATGTGTTCATGGTCAGTGGGGAGACTATTTCTGCCAGCGTGGCAGCTCTCTCCGCCGTCAGATTGAAGCGTAACCTTAGTTTCAGCAGCGTTCTCTACGACCTGACGGTAAATCGTATGCTACGCTACGTGCAGATGTATGCATCACTCCTGTTTGGTCAGCTGTTGATGTCGGATGCGCTTGAAAATCTTGTCAAGCAGTACCCGCATCCACCGTGTGAAAGTCTCAGCATGGTGGCTGTTTTTGACGTGGAGGAATCCTGCGTGCGGCGAGCGCAAAAGATCATGAAAAAAAAAACCACCCCTGTGGCTCCAGACAGCAACGGTATGAGGCAGCTGATCCCAAAACAGGGCGAGGTGCTGCTGAGGGAATCCACGCAGGAAAGGTATCACTACTGTGGGGTCATGGTCTGGGCAACGTCTCGCCTGTTTGTGTTGCTTTGCACCGTTCGTGATGTCATCATGTGCGATCGTTATCCCAACGGTGATCTTTTCAAACTTGCTCTTACTGCTAAGCGCCAGTTGCAGCAGTTGCTTTTCGATAGTATGCTTCAGCAGCGGCTTGAATTTGCATGGGATAAAATACGCACGCTTCCGGATGCAAATGATGAGAGTGACGCTAATGAAAGTAATGGTATTTCTGAGCAAGGACCCTCTCGAGAGGATCTGCGGACGCTACAAGCGCATTGGAAAAAGTACAGTCTTGCCAATATAGTTAATCCATTTCTACAGATTCTAACGGACTGGAAATCGATACTGACGAGACATCACGGTACCCTTTTGGCGGCGTGTGTACCCAATTACACCCTTCACCTCTTTCTGGACGAGTTTGAAGGAAATGTCGTTGGGACACCGTGTAAAGCTTCTGATACCACCATTGCATTGACGTTGGCAAGCCATCAGATGGATCGAAAGCGTTTTATTGTTGTGGAATTTACAGGTGGTGTGTTGGGCGTTATTGAGAGTGCTGCGCTCTACCGTGGGGTGAACGAGCGAGGCGCCGTCGACAAGCTGCTGGAGGAGGAGGAAGAGGAGGAGGCGGCAGAGCTAATTGAGCAAACGCTGAAGCTGCTTTCAAGTGCCCTGTGGAGGAGTTCATTCACCACTGGCATGAGGTGAGCGTTCTGGTGCACGTGTCCTGAACGGTGGTGGAACGAAACAAACAAAAAAAGTGAGGAAGAAGAAGAAGAAAAAAAAACAAACGATTGTTGAATTTGAAAGACACACATACTGTCTCCCCTGTCGTGTCTGATCACGCATCCCATGTTCTTCTGGAGGTATGCCTTTTCGTTTTTGTTATTTTTGCTGTTCCGTACCTGAGGGGATTGGGGCGACAGAGTTTTTTTCTGTATTGTAGTTATCCTCCCTCCCTCTCCTTCTACAAAGGGCTATTCGTACCATGGATCGGGTTGGGGTGGTTGGATACATCCTTTCTGGTTTATGATGTTGCTGCAGATGCGTCGATTTGAAAGTGCCTGCTACATGCTACTTGAGGTCAGTATTTCATGGGAGATACACAGGCTGTTTTTACCTTTGGCTGCTAGCGTTACGGGTTCACGTGTTGCGAGGACGGTGCCTGTCCGTCAGTCCGGGAGGGAAAGAGTGGGAGATTGAGAGTTTCCTGTTGTTCAGGCGCACAATGGAAACAGGAGTGAATGCAAGAAATAGTGGACACATTCTTTGCGGCTTAATTTGAGAGAAAACCTCAAGCTGGTGCGAGCAGGTGGGTATATTTCTAAGGAGCAGGAGCGGCGTTTCCCCGTCTGGGCACCATTTTTTTTTCTTCGTTCTCTATTCTTTGTTTTACAAAGTCCGACCACCAGCAGCCACCGTCAACACCACTGGAGGCCAGCGAACGCCATCTCGACACCCACATGCCACGGGAGAAACGTCTCTGATACAGCTCACAACCGCCGCGATACAATACAGTGCGTGTGGCAACAGCTCCACTACCCCCATTTTGGGGGTGAGGATGATGCTGTCGCTGCACGTTGACTAGGCGGCATACGGCGCTGCGGTGCCGTATGAGGATGAAAAAGAGGAACGTGATGACTTTTCTGTTCCATTTGCAACGACTCTGGTGAGTTTATTGTTACAGTTGTTGCTTCTCATGTTCGACCCACTCCTGGGTTGTGCCATGGACGATGACAACCAATTTCCCCCATTGGCAGCGAGGAAGCGATGAAATTAGCTACATCTGTTGGTGCCACATCTAATGTCTCTCTTTGTCAAATCTCGTGGACGGCCTTTTCAGGTTGGCACTTCCCCTCAGGTAACGTCAACTGCTACGATGAAGAACACAGTGCTCGCGCATGCAGTGGACGGACTCTGATAGTTTCCTCGTACACGCCTATAGTGGGCCAGTGAGTTTGGAAACGGGTGCGAGTCTCATGTTCTTTGTGTCTATAGCTCGTGCAGTTGCAGAAGTAGTGGTGGCGCGCGGCGTTACAGCAGATTTTGTATTGGGCTGGAAATTTTTCATCATCGTTTTGCGGCCTTCAACACATAAACAAGGATTTTAGCGGCATTGGAGGGGACTAAATAAAAATATGTTTATTTCCCTTTTTCTTTTGGCTGCGATTAACAGCTACCGGTAGCGATGAAGTTGACGCATATATGCGTCTGCCGTTCTTGTCGCCCTGCTGTCGAAGACCGTTGTGAGGCGCCCATTTGTATTATGGCGAACTGCACGGCAAACAATGGGTGCAACAACCCCGCAGCGTCTGAACTCTCTCCTCTAGTGTGTGCGTATTATTATTATTATTATTTTGATTGCGGAGGGGTGATAGGCGAGGTACTTTGTTCCCCGTGCGGGCGGGCCA